GCAATGTTGCCCACAGCTTATCATGATCCACATAATTGAAAACCTTTGCGTAATCAATAAAGCACAGATAAATATCTTTCTGGTATTCTCTGCTTTTAGCCAAGATCCATCGGACATCAGCAATGATATCTCTCATTCCACGGCCTCTTCTGAATCCGGCTTGAACTTCTGGAAGTTCTCTGTCAATGTATGCTTGCAGCCATTTCTGTATTACTTTTAGTAAAACTTTACTTGCATGGGATATCAAAGAGATTGTCCTATGATATCTGTATTCCATTGGGTCACCTCTCTTTGGAAGGGGCACAAATATAAGTACCAATAAATGTTTCCTACATGAATACGAAGGCATTCTATCAGTGTAGTGGTCACGAATCGGGCTGCTAACTTCAAGGTCGGCAGTTCAAAACTACCAGCCATTCCGCAGGAGAAAGATGAGGTGTTTTGCTCCCGTAAAGATTTACAGCCTTGGAAACCCTGTGCAGGGTCACTATGAGTCAGAACCGACTCCACAGCACATAACAACAATAACAACATGAATATGTAAAATGAAATCAGCTAGCCATGCTAAAGCAGAGAGCAACAAGGTGCCCTTATGTTCAACGCATTCAGAAAAGCTCAAATCTGGCATCTGACTAGGATAAGCCCCCGTGGGGTGAGAGGGTGGAAAAGCAGAGAGACAAGGGAGATAGCAGGCATGCGGGGAGCAGACCTCCCTCCCTGGAAGCACAAAGCTCAGAAGAAGTCCTACTTCCCCAACTGGCCTGTGGTTCTGGACAAGATAAGCATGATGGAATGGCAAATATGCCCATTTAATTTGCTAGTGATGTGGCATTGTCAAGTTTCTTGGGAAACAAGAACAGAGTTCAAGATGCTCTTGATCAATAAGGGTCATGGAGCAAATCAGTGGGTGTGCTCTTTGGGGTTAGGAGTTCTGGTCTTGGAACCAGTAGATCTGAGTCTAATCTCCCCAGTTCCTGCCTCTTTTGACTGACGGGAGATCACAGGGTGTAGATAGTGTGTCCTGGAGTCAGTTGTGGCTTTACCACTTGTTCCATGAGTGACCATCATGTCACCTCTCAACTTCTGTTTCATCATTTGTAAAATGTGGATAATAATATTCATGTAAGGAGCTCTGGATAAGCACTCGACTAGTAGGCAATTCAAACCCACCAGCAGTTCTGCAGGAGAACATGAAGCTTTCTGATCCTGTAACGATTTATAACCTTGGAAACCATATGCAGGGTTCCTATGCATCAGAATTGACTCAGTGGCAGAGGTTGGGTTTTTGTAAAATTATAAAAACAAAACCAAACACTGCCCAACACTTCCCCCGCAAAAGCAACACCTATCAACCAGCCAAGCTTATGTAGTAAAGTTCAGACCTTTCCCACTTTGCTCTGGACCCAAACCAACTCCACAGAGACAGTTATGGGAAGGAGGGCTAGCCACCAAGTACAGGAAAAAAGACTGGAGGTCAAAGTGGCCACAAACTGACCAGAAGTCTGGTAAGAGGCTGGTGTGAAAGTCACCTGGATCAATCTGAAAACCTGTTCTGGAAGCTTTCAAGAAAAATGGGAAAAAGAGAATGTACCTACAGACGAGGACAAGCAAACACCTTACAAGGAAAGAAAAAGGGGGTTCAGTCAGGAGTCTACATTTGAAGGCCAGTACTAGTTTGATTTACTTGCATTTGTGTGTGTGTGTGTGTTAGTAGGAGACACTAAAGACTCACAAGAGCTACCCAAGAGGAAATGCCATCTAGTGAATAATTGTTATCAGGACTGATTGTGAGGATTGGAAATATAAAGGTAGATGTTTTATAGCAAGGAGGGGAGTGATTCACTTTTCAGTCTAGGAGCGGAGGTCCCTAGGACCATCAAGGGAGAAGAGCAGAGAGCGGGACCCTACCCAGAGAAGCAGTGATGCCTGAAATGGAGGCAGAGATGATGATGTGGAGTGATGGAGCAGTTGGAGACTTTAGATGCAGAGAGGGAGAGCAACTGTGTGCTGAAGACCTGGAGGGTACAGGGGAAGGATTGCAGGGTATACCCTTTGGTTGGTTGATGATGCATGGAGGGGATTGTAACCATGGCAATGAGATGATATACGATAGAATGAATGTAAAACTAATATTCTCCCATGTAAACTATCACATAATTCACAATAAAACATTTAAGAAAAAAAAAAGAGGAAATGCCATCTGACATGAGGAAGAATTTCCACTGGAATGTAAGTTCAGTGAGGCTCTCTGCTCAGGGTGCCCTGGGTAGCAGCTGTGGAAGGGGCCTGAGGGCAGGGATCCTGAGGACAAATGAGGGGGAGGACACTCACTCTAGGAGCTTTCCGGCCATCTTAGAGCTGTAGATGTTACATCGGTGCAGTGGACCTATGTGGCCCGAGGCCTTGCAGAGGGCTTCATGGAACTGGAACTGGAGTACCAAGCTGAGGAAGTACCTGGGTGGAAGAACATGAGGGCAGGCTGGGGAGTAGGAATCAGGGCTGGAAAGCCTGAAGCCACCTGGGGAAGGGTAGCTCTGACATACAACGCCCACATAGTGGTGGGCCCAGGTTGGCAGACACAGCCTGGGCAGAGGACAGGGCCTCCCTATGCCACCCAGTGGCTCCTTGGGCCCCGCCTCAGACTGGTTTACTCTCTTCTCCAGCCTTCAGAATCATAGTCATCTCAACTGCTGGTATTCTCATTCCTGCCCTTCTTTAGGGTAGAGCAGAGATGCTGTGGACATGCCCCTTGGCCCTGCCCTCCACAGGATAAAGTGTAAAAGACCAAAGGATTCCAGGCCTGGATCCCAGAAGGGTGTGCAAGCCAACACAATGAAGTAGGTGGGAGTGTAGGGGATGTTTAGAACTAGAACCTTCCTGGAAATCCTAGCTGTTACTCCTAGGCCCGCTCACCCTCAGTTCCCAGAGCTCGCTCTACAGACAGGGCCCAGACCTTTACCTTATGTAGGGGATGCTGGCAGAAATGTGGTACTTGGCCCCTGGATCAAAGTCCTCTTCTGACCGAGGAATGGGAGGACACAGGCCCTGGTACTGTAACCTGTAGAAATGAAAACAAGCAGTTTGGTTGTGCTGCCTTGCATGCGTCTCAGAGTCTTTTCCATTTCCAAGCACTTGCATACACCCTCCAAATCCTAAACTAGTCGCTTTCAAATCAACTCGGACTCATGGCGGCCCCATGTATGCTAGAGTCGAGTGGCGCTCTTCACATTCTCACTGGTTGATTTTATGGAAGAAGATCACTAAGGCACTTCTGCGTGGACTCAAACTGCCAACGTTTCCGGTAGCTACTGAGCACATTAATGATTCGTACCACCCAGGGACTCTCCAAGTTCTAGCACATCTATCAGGGCTGGGCCTGATAAAGTCAGTGAGGAAAGGACAAGTGTCTGGTCCCGCTCATAGGAAATAGTCAGAATCGTCAAATGCAGAGAGACCATGGTTTAATAGTGGTTACAGTGGGCAGTTCCCTGGGATCAGATCTCAAAGCACTGTCTACCCTAGGAGAAGGTAGGAGGCATGAGGCCGAGGCCCCAGGAAGGGCCTGAGGATCAGGAAGAGGGCCTCACCTGAGTCTCCACCACTCCTGGTTGTAGACACCCTTTTGGATGGTGCCGTCAAAGATCTTCCAGCGGTACAGGTCCACCAGGTAGCCAAAAGGGATGAAGGCGATCTTCTCCAGGGCGATGCCCATTAGGAAATTGACCTCATCCTCTGTGGATGGGCAGTGGCAGTCAGAGGCAACCCCAGGGTACCCAGCCCCTTCTGTCTTGCCTAGAGCAGTCAGGTCCCACACCATCCTAGTTCCAGTCCCAGGATGCCCTCCTTATTGTCCTTTGGCGCTCCTCACCTGAGTCCTGGAACTGGAAGCTAAGTAGGCCTATGTTGAGCAGGTGCTCGTGGGAGGAGGCTGAGAGGGTGATCGCCGACCCCACGGCCTCGTCAAAGGCTGGGTTGGCGCCTGCGCGGAAGATCACAGAGAGGTTTCTGTACTGCATGAAGTACTGGATATGGCCCATCTGGTGGAAGATGGAGAGCAGGTCTTCTATGGTCACCTCGGTGCACTTCTTTATCCTAGGGTTAAAGGGCAGGGGTCAAGGAGCATGGGGATGCCCTGGCAACAGTGGAGATTTCTCCATTCAGACTCTGCTACGGGGCTGGTTGGAGAACAGAAGGTTTTGACGGTTGCAGATGTACAAATCCAAACACTGACTGAGCCCTTGCACAGCCCCTTCCATCCACCTCTTTTTCTCTGTTCCTGCTCACATCCCACCGTAGGACAGGTAGATAGATGGAGTAGGAACATGGTACTGGCTGAGGGTCATGCCAATCAGTGGGCAGTGAACACCTGAAGTCACGGCTGTTGTAGAAGTCCCAGGCAGAGGCGTGGCATACCACCTCTCGTCCGTCAACTGGCTTCTCCAGCATCGACTTGGCCCAGAACTCAGGAGGGGTGGGCAGTAAGCCCAGGGAGGTGAAGAATTTGTCAGCCTCTTCAAACATTTTATGAGGCTTCCAGTTCTGTGGGAAAGGAGGGTGCATGGGACCATGAGTGATGGCCCAGGGCACAGAGGGGGTGGAGGTTGGGGGCTGGAGAGGCCCAGCACTGACCTGGGCTTTCATGGTCTTCGTAATGTCCTCCAGGGGTTTCCCCGGGAAGGGCAAGACCAGGTCTAAGATGTTGACCCACGACTGAGCCCACATGTCCCCTGGGGGAGACAGAGAGTGGAGGGACTAAGAGGTGGCCAGAGAGTCCTTGCTCCTTATTGATATCAAGCGTCTACTTTGAAGCCTGCCCCAGTCTCTGCCCATGCCATGCACCTGCTTGGCCTTTACCTAGGAGGTGGGCAGGGATGGGCCCCCTCAGGTTGATGTTCTCCGGCCCGTAGTGGCGGTGTAGGGCGCGGCGCACGTAGGCGTGCAGGTTCAGGTAGAGTGGCTGAAGCTCCTTGAAGAGCCGCTCCAGGTCGTGTTCCAGGCTGCTGGCCTCATTCTCAGAGTCGTACTTTGTGCGCCACAAGGCCCCCATGTCTGTGTAACCTAGGGTAGGAGAGGGGACTCAACAACAGGCCCACCCACTCAGTCTTCAGCTCTGGTTTAGTCTGGCTTCCTTCTTGGAAGACTACTTTACCCCCTTGACCCTCAGCATTTTCGTCTCCCAAGGCTACTATTGACCAAGTTGGATCTGATGCGGGAGGGTAAAGCACTCAGCAAAGTCCTTAATTCTCCCTCCTCACGGCACTTACTCAGCCCTGGACCCTCCTCCCTCTGGCTTCCTGCAGTTCCTCCCAAACCCTGGCCCCCTTTCCTAGCAGTGTCTGCCTGGGGTGCACTTTTACTTCTTGCTTGCCTGACTCTTTTCCACCTCTCCCAGGTCTCTCATCCCCTCTCCCAGCAGCCCCTTCTTGGAACCCAGCCCAAACAGTGTTATAGAAATATGGGTGTTGACTTGGAGTGTGTCTGTCACCCCCACTGGACTGTCCACCCTCTAAGGGCAGACCCCTCCCGTATCGTCTCACCCTCAGACCCTCCCCAGTGCCAGCACCTAACAGGTATTCCATCACTGTTTTCAAACAACACAATGAAAAAATTGTTTTGTCTAGCCTAGGTATAGGGTTCATGGGTGACATCTCTGGGTTCTATTACCAGCGCTGCCCCCCCCTTCCCCCCACCCCGCCTCAGCTTAGCCCCCTTCCGGTGTTGCTCTGTGGCCTGTGTTCTGTCCTGTCTTCAGGTCAGGCTTCACCATTGAGTATCGCTGCCTTGTTGCTGAGTTGCACATAACGCTCGAAGATGTTGCGGAGTGGGCGGCCCACAGCATCCCTCCAACCCTGCCACGCCCAAAGCAGCTCTTTCTGGTCCCGGGAGGTGGCCATCACTTCTTCAAGGTCTGTGCTTGGGAAAGAAACCATGTGGGACTCCTGCTCCCTGTTGTACCCTCCACTCATTCAGGCACCCCCACCCTAACAAGGGAGAGGGGAGAAGGAGGGCTGGATGCCTATAGAAGAGACTGTGGTTGGGCAAGGGCAGGAGCAGAATCCAGGCCACTCACCAGGTTCCAGGTAAAGGCAGGGTCCCTCATCCAGACACACCTCAGCCATACTGTATGTGGTCTCCATGTAGGCCAGGAGCTTGTTGTACTGGGGAAGCAGATGTCACCCAGGGCAGGCCTACTCCCTTGGGTCCATCCCCAGCACCAACCCTGCCTTCCTTAGGCCTCTGCTTTCCTCCTCCCCCAGAGGAAGCTCTGGCTCTGTACCTTCCCCTCCCCAAGCCTCCCTCCTGCTCAAGACTGGGCCTGCCCCACCCACCCCTGGGGAGGGATGTGTGTGCCTGGAGGTCTGGGGATTCCGTCCATCACCTCCCGGAGCTCTTCGTCGGGCAGGGCCGCCTTGCCCATGTCCTGCACCTTTCTGAGCATGCGCTTTGTGGCAAGGTCCTGGAACGTGGTGAAATTAAACAGGCGGGCTCGGGTGCCAAAGTATAGGGTGTGCTTGGACCTCTCCATGTCCTTGTGCAGCTGGGAAAAAAGGTCACCACATTTGTCATGAGGGCTTGGAGCAGATGAGGGCCCCATATTGAACACTAGGGTCATACCCACCAATCTGCTTCCAAGCCCACTTTAGGCCTTAGAAGTATTGAAGAGCTGCAAGGAGACAGAAGGGAAAGGACTTGGGTCTCAGAAGCAAGGTGAAAGTTAACAAGGTTATAGAAACAAGAGATTCTTGTCTCAGAAGAGTTCAGGGGCCACCAAGAGGCCTGGAGCTTGTAGCCTGCTTCAGCAAGTCCTTTGGGGTTTCCCTCTCACCTTTGTCTCCTGATAGACGCAGAATGTATAGACCCCCACCTCCCCTGAGACCACTGAGAAGATAAAGAAGAGGGACTAGGGTGGAGGCGGTACCACACCATCTCTTCCTGATTTGTCTTTGTGATGTTGGTGACATAGTTCCAGGCGGCCTCTATGAACTTGTTCCACAAAACCTGGGCAGTTTGTTCATAATTCTTCAGGAATGCCTTTGCTTCATCCTCATTATAGTACATATCTGTGGGAAGGAGATGGGCATAATGCTGTTCTGGGAGGGATCTGACCTGGCCAGTCCCCTTGTCTGGTACCCTGCTCCTTTAGGCCCTAGCCTCACCTGGGCTGTGAGCATCCTCAGTCCTGGCCCATGACAAGAGCTGTCCATAACAGAGGAGCACAAGTAGGAAAGGTCCAGGGCTAATCCATCTTCTGCCCATGACCAAGAGAAGAGCGGAGCTTGGTGTGCCTGTTGTCCAATCAGGATCTGACTCCATATTGTGACATCAGGGGCCAAAGGGTTAGCCATAGAATGTTAGAACTGGGAAGGCCCACCCATTCCCTGGTCCAGCTGTCCCTATTTTATAGGCAGGGAGACTGAGGTTCAGAATGGTCAAGTCATATGTCCTGGCTTACCCCCAGTACCAGCCCTGCCTTTTAGGTCAGAACTTGTTCCACTCTACTTGGTCATTTCTCCCAGGGTGGGCTAGACTCATCCTTAGATGTTGGCCAAAGAATGATAAGACTACTCTCTCAATAGGCTGGGATCATCGCTGAGCTGGTTGGATGGATGGATGGATGGATGGATGGATGGATGGATGGATGGATGGA